CAGAAGCCGTTTCCCAAGATGCCACAAATAAACAATACATTTCTAGACTTAAAATCATAAATAATATTCAACGTTAAACTGGTACACAATTAAAAACATTTTGTTTAGGCCTATCTCTGGCCTTCAAAATGTTGACGAAAAGGATGATGTTGTAACGCCGAAACATGTAGAGTCGTCAACTTTTTGAAGGCCAGAGATAGGCCTAAATAAAATGTTTTTAATTGTGTACCAGTTTAACGTTGAATATTATTTATGATTTTAAGTCTAGAAATGTATTGTTTATTTGTGGCATCTTGGGAAACGGCTTCTGACCGAGGCTTTAACCTGGTATTAAATAAAACAAAAACTCCAGAATAACAAGATGTCACATAAAGAACGTGTAAAGTATGTTGTAAATTAAAAGTGGAAGTTAATCCCAATAAATTATTGGCCTTATGTTTGGGTTCAAGATCCATATCTCCAGTCGTTAATCCCAATAAATTATTGGCCTTATGTTTGGGTTCAAGCTTCATATCTCCAGTCGTTGATCCCAATAAATTATTGGCCTTATGTTTGGGTTCAAGATCCATATCCTCCAGTCGTTGATCCAATAGATTATTGCCTTATGTTTGGGTTCAAGATCCATATCCTCAATCGTTGATCCAGGTAGATTATTGACCTTATGTTTGAGTTCAAGCATCATATCCCCAGTCGTTGATCCAGGTAGATTATTGGCCTTATGTTTGAGTTCAAGCATCATATCCCCAGTCGTTGATCCAGGTAGATTATTCGCCTTATGTTTGGGTTCAAGATCCATATCCCCAGTCGTTGATCCAGGTAGATTATTCGCCTTATGTTTGGGTTCAAGATCCATATCCCCAGTCGTTGATCCAGGTAGATTATTCGCCTTATGTTTGGGTTCAAGATCCCTACTGGATATTGTTATGTTATAAACTATTATATAAGTACTGGATATTGTTGTGTTATAAACTATTATATAAGTACTGGATATTGTTGTATTATAAACTATTATATAACTACTGGATATTGTTGTGTTATAAACTATTATATAAGTACTGGATATTGTTGTGTTGTAAACTATTATATAAGTACTGGATATTGTTGTGTTATAAACTATTGTATAACTACTGGATATTGTTGTGTTATAAACTATTATATAAGTACTGGATATTGTTGTGTTATAAACTATTGTATAAGTGCTGGATATTGTTGTGTTATAAACTATTGTATAACTACTGGATATTGTTGTGTTATAAACTATTGTATATCCTTCGGTTTCATCGAAATGTCATCTATTAAACAACAGTCCTTTCGTTTGCTTCAGTTGCAGACTCACGTGTATAATTAACGATCTTGTTAATTATACATGTTTAATTTGTTTATAGAGTGAACAGTTTAGTTCCTTCTGACCTTCATAAACGTACTTCAACTTTAGACTCGACGAGCTTTCTTTTTACTTCAATATAATTTAACACAGACTTCAATCCAACAAAATTCATTGATATAATTAATAATCGCAAGTTACTTGACTGGCTTTATGAAATTTAATCACAAGAAAAACGGCCTCCGAAATATGCATTTCGATTTGTAGGAGATTTCTTGGGTTGGAATTTTAACAATTTTGATTCGCATTCCTCGCACCGCCTGGTGGCGGTTACTGTTCAGTTCTGTAGTACAAATTCTTGATATATGACGTGTTGTTTGAATTCAGATCTTTACAGATATTTCCTTGATTGAAAAAAAAATTGAATTTAAAACATTTTTGTTTTATACTTTATCTGAGATAGCTATTCTATACGGACTTACAATATTAAAATCCGGGGTTCGATCCCCGTGTTTGACAGATAGTTTGTTGCTTTGTTTCTAAGAGACATAAATCAATCTTGAACTGGACTACCTACGACATGTCCTGTTACACAAAGGCGGGCCTGGATTTATAAAACAAACTGGTCCTTCAGTCTGCGTGAAAATAAACACACGTAAGTAATTTTGGTGGCTAGCTAACAGGACCCCAGTTTCTCCAAGTTGCTTTTCAATACTTGTTTACGATATAATTTGAGTTCATTAATAATTTATGATGATAAATCTAATATGAAGTTATTTTAACGCGAAACTACACAATCGGCTATCTGCGTTATGGCTAACGCAAGGAATTGGACCACGGGTTTTGGTGATTTAAGCCCGTAAACGTACCGCTGATCCACCAGAAATCTAATATTGTTTGTGTTTGTTTGTTTGTAACTAAGCACAAAGCTACACAATGGGCTATCTGTGCTCTGCCCACCACGAGTATCGAAACCCGGATTCTAGCGTTGTAAGTCCGCAGACATACCGCTGTACCACTGGGGGGCAAATCTAATATTAAGAATCAGTGAGGTTAAAGCACAGAATAAGTGTGTGATATTATTTGTTTTAGCTCAAAGTCACACAATGGGCTATCTGAGCTCTGTCTACTGCGGGGAATCGAACCTGGAATTTCAGCGTTAGAGGTTTATAAACCCACGTAAGTTTCGGTTTTGTTTGGTTGTTGTTAAACACAAGGCTACTCTATTGTGCGCGCCACGGGTATCGAAAGTCGGATTTTAGCGTTATAAGCCGTTAGATTTGCTGCTGAACACTGTATATAATAAAAATAATAGACAGCTTATAGACCGTTGTTCGGTACGAATGCTTGTTTGTTTGTTTTGAAGTTAAGCACAAAGCTACTTTACAAAGGGCTCTACCCACCATAGGTATCGAAACCCGATTTCTAGCTTTGCAGACATACTGCTGTGCCGCTAGGGGGGGCTGTTCGGTACGAACGAGGTTCCTATTATCAGTTTATGAGCAGGTTGATATAAGTATCTATCAACTTATAGTGAGAATCAAAATGATTGGAAATTTTATTGGTTTTATCAAATGATAGGGCCACAGCTTGTAAGAGCTTCGTTCGTATCGGAAAGATGTTTAAGAAAATTTAGGTTTTAACCGCTTTCTTCCTTCAGAACTCTCTATATCTCGTTTCCCTTAGCAACGTAATTTTTATTTCTTTAGAGATTTTTTTTTAATTTGTTTTAATCGCTGTCTATTGTTATGTGCTCCCTGGTGACTTAGCGGCGAGCTTGATGGTATATAATGCTAAAATTCGGGGTTCGATTCCCTGCTGTGGATACACAGCAGATAATCCACTGTGTAGCTTTGAAACAAAGAAAATATTTAATAGTTTCGTTTTGAGTTTACTGACGGATTAAATATATTTTATTACTAGTTACAAGCGTGTACTTTAGAATGATCGCACCAGTGATCGAAACTGTTCTAAATACAAATCTTACTTACTGTAAAAGCTTAACTTGTAATAAAAAAACAAGATTGTTATACGCTTTTAATACATTTTCTCTTTCGCTCTCTCTATCTCTATAAATATATAAACTCCCCTTTCCTGTAACAAGTCCTGTAACAAGTAACCGATGTATCACCAGTAGATGAAGATTAATGAAGATTATTTCTGAAGAACCAGAACTACAACAGATGTTTCTTTTCCTTCAACTAGATATTGATGTTGTAGCGTAAAGTTACACAATGGCCTGTCTGTCTGACTATCAGGAATCGAACCCGGGATATTGTTATACTACTGTTTAGCCTAATTTTGAATTTGTTTCTTATATTATCAAACGAAATATCAATCCAAAATAATGTGATTTTTATAGCTTTTCCTCTTATTATTATTTTATTACCGCCCCCAGGTGGAGCAGCGGCAAGTTTACGTACCTAGGTGCTAAAATTTGGGGTACAGTTCCTTGCAGTGGACAAAGCACAAACAGCAAATTGTGTAGCTTTGCGCTAACCAAAGAAGAACCTTATCGATATTTAACACATGTGAAAGTCTTAGACTTTGAAAAAGGCATCTTATCAAATATCAAAACAAAAAAAAATTGAAAAAGTCTAAATTATAAAACGGCTAGTATTTTTAGGTTTGTTCTTTAATCTTGGATTTTTCTATTTCTCAATCACTTATAATTGTTTTCTTCCAGCATGATCCATTCATTGACCGTCCGGTCTGTCTAGTTCTGTAGCGTCTTGCTGAGCGAGTGGTCACTACTATGATTCTGAGGTCAGAAGATGATGCTATTGAATTGAGTAACGAAGCGTCTGTGGTAACTGCTGGCCGAATTATCGAGGCTGTGGTGATCTTACTGATATGTGTGTTGGTGATTGGATCCAACGTGATGGCTCTGGCCACTATATTGACCTCACCTGCGCAGAAGGAAGCCATGGATTACTATATTCTGTCCCTGATCACTGCCGACCTTCTCTGTGGTGTGTTGATCATCCCACTGTCTGTATATCCGGCTATCGTGAGAGAGTGGATATACGGAGATCTTTTGTGCCGGATAACTGGCTTCGTGGAGTTGACGTTGTGGAGTGTGACCACCTACACTTTCATGTGGATCGCCGTGGATCGGTACCTGGCCATTCGCAAACCCCTTCGTTACGACACCATCCAGACGAAGACACGATGCCAATGTTGGATGGTGTTTACTTGGCTAACATCCATTTTTCTGTGTTGTCCGCCGCTTCTTGGATTTTCTAAAGGCCTCTTCTATCGTGATGGACTCGTTTGTCTGCTTGGGCTCAGTAATATGCTGCCATACAGCACAACGTTGGCAGTGTTGGTGCTGGTGCCCAGCATCTCGACCATTGTTTATTCTTACTTCTACATCTTCTCCACCATGCACAAACTACGGCAGAGCATGAGTGAAGAGGAAAAAGAATACGCTACGGCCATGAGCGAGAACCTTTCCAATCCAGACCATATGATGGCCTTGATTCTGATCCTGGTGTTTGCAGTTTCTTGGATTCCGTGGTTCTCACTCCGAATCTACGAGCAGGTGGCAGCAGAGCCCGTGACATCCCACTATTTGCACTTTTGCCTCCTGTGGCTGGGAGTTCTGAACAGCATCTGGAAGTCCATAATATACGCCCTGATGAGCCCCAAGTTTCTCTACAGTCTGAAGCTGCTATGTGCGTCCCTGTGCTGTCGTTGGAAGGCTCGACCTCAGTTGATCGTCTGAATGGTAAGTATCACTCAAATGCTATTGTATTACTACTTATAAGTCTTCAGACTTACCGCTGGGTAATTTTAAATGTGATACTCGATGTTATCTGCTACTTTTAATTGTTGTTTATTGTTATTGTTTTTTGGAATTAAGCACAAAGCTACACAATGGACTATTTGTGCTCTGCCCACCACGGATATCGAAACCCGGTTTCTAGCGTTGTAAGTCCGCAGACATACCGCTGTGCTACTGAGGGGGAGGCACTTCTTTTAATAAAAACAAACATTGGTAATGATAACTATATCTTGATCTCACCCAAATCTTTAGGGGCCGGGTAGTTAGTAATTCAACTGTGATTGTGTCTTGTCAAGTGTAAAACTTGTGGTCTGTAAACTGGATATTGTTGTGTTATAAACTATTATATAAGTACTGGATATTGTTGTGTTATAAACTATTATATAAGTACTGGATACTGCTGTGTTATAAACTATTATATAAGTACTGGATATTGTTGTGTTATAAACTATTGTATAAACTTATATAATAGTTTATAACACAGCAGTATCCAGTACTTATATAATAGTTTATAACACAACAATATCCAGTACTTATACAATAGCTTATAACACAACAATATCCAGTACTTATATAATAGTTTATAACACAGCAATATCCAGTACTTATATAATAGTTTACAACACAACAATATCCAGT